TCATATATAAAAAGATAACGATATTTCTCCATCAACCTCAACCAATGCATGTGTCCTGCTGTACTGCTAAAAAAAACTCTGCTTGGAGAGTGGTCTTTCTGCCACCTTAGGATCTGCTTTTTTATTATTGAAGAAACAATACAAAGACAAGGACAAAGTGGGACTACACTCAAGTTATACACTTATTCTAACAGCCGACTTAATACTTAACTTAAAAATGGAAATAGATACATGTGAAGAAAAAAGAAAAACTCCCTCCCCATACAGTATCATGTAAACAGAAGTACTAATGATTGCTCATTAATCAAAGGAATTACAGCTGGAAACGTTTCGTTTTAGGATCTGCTTGGAGATGAGGCACGCCCGGCCCGGCAGCCAAGCCTCCGTAGCAGGCTTATAGAACAGGGGGTTTGGTGGTCTTCGGCTGTTTTCTGGATCAGCCCAGTTCTAAAAAAAAACGGGGGTAATTCAACCAGGCCGGCTATGTTGTCTCTATGCCAATCAGAAAATAGCACATAAAAGCTCCCAAAGACCCTGAAGACCCCCCAAACCCCCAGTTTGTAGCATTCTATGGAGGCTACCAGCTACCGAGGTGCCCCGCCGGTCATGACGGATGTTACCAGGTTCACGGGGTTACCCGCCTCCACCGGCTGATCGAACCTGCCGGAATGACACCAATCACCGGCATCTTTCTTCTTCACCTAACCTGACACAGATCTCGTTTATCTATTTCATTGTATTCACATATATTCAACGAGCATTGGAAAAAAATGAAATCGTCTGGTCATAAAATGATAAGAAGCAAGGGCAATAACAACAGAAATGAACGAATAATTACAAAAGTAACGTGCAGATCACCAGCATCTTTCTTCTTCACACAACCTGACACACATCTAGTTTATCTATTTCATTGTATTCGCATATATATTCAATGAGCATTGGAACAAAACACACAATGTGCTAATGAGAATCGTCTGGTCATAAAATTATAAGAAGCAAGAGCAATAACAACAGTATGTATATTCAACAAGCATTGGAAAATGGACTCGATGGGCTAATGAGAAACGTTTGGTCATAAAATCATAAGAAGGAAGAGCGATAACAACAGAAATTCTCTATTTCATTGTATTCAAATACATATATATTCAACAAGCATTGGAAAAAAAGCACACGATGGGCTAATGGAAATCGTCTAGTCATAAAATTATAAGAAGGAAGAGCAATAACAACAGAAATTGTCTATTTCTCTATTTGATTCTATTCAAATACATGTATATGCAACAAGCATTGGAAAATGTACACGATGGGCTAATGAGAATCGTCTGGTCATTAGATGATAAGAAGCAAGAGCAATAACAAGAGAAATGAACGAATAATTACAAAAGGAAGGTGCAGATCACCAGCATCTTTTTGTTCACACAGCCTGACACAAATCTAGTTTATCTATTTCATTGTATTTACATGTATTCAACTTGCATTGGAAAAAAGGCACACAATGTGCTAATGAGAATCGTCTGGTCATAAAAGTATAAGAAGGAAGAGCGATAACAACAGAAATTGTCTATTTCTCTATTTGATTGCATTCAAATACATGTATACTTAACAAGCATTGAAAAATGGACACGATGAGCTAATGGGAATCGTCTGGTCATAAAATGATAAGAAGCAAGAGCGATAACAACAGAAATGAAATGATAATTACAACAGTGAAAAGTGAAAAGTTGGTGTACCAAGCAATATGGATTCACTTAACAAATCCTGTGTATAAAATAAAGTTGAAAAGAACGTTGAAAGTGAGAATATGTAGAGAAAGGACGAAGGTGTAAATTCCACCAATAAATATTGCGTTAATATTTAAGACAAACACACAGGGGGCACGTATTAGAGGTCAAAAGATAATTTTATTGCGGTTCCCTGCGATATACTATGATTTTCATATGTACAGTGTAGTCTGAGGTTTACCAAGGTTGGAGTATCAAAAGAGAGGAGGGCATTTTATCAACTAAAGCTACCGTATACTGGCTGGTTGGGACAATCTTAGAACGATAGTCGTGGCGACTCTTGCAGCGGTTCTTTGACCTATAGTCTTCTGCAGTGTCTGTATCTGTATCTGTATAGCCGGTATAACCGCCTTTCGGCATAACACACCAGCTTCTCAGGCACGCGGCGCGGCGGCAGCTGGCTACGTTACACCGATAGACTTGTTACACCTAACCCTTGGACATCAAAAGTATCCCATACGTGTACAATGCAAAAGGCTACAAGCAAGAGAACCCCCCACAACAGTCACCGCGCCGATCTCAATGGAAACCTAAACAATTATTGTGTTTGGATACCCGTATTATTTTAGATTAACGGTTGAAACAATAGCTTTCATACATGCACGTTCTAGTTTTACACTACGCCGTTTTATTCTCATTCAGTAGCAATAAATCTCTCGTTTCGAACGTATTACACTCGTCCTTATTGCTAAGACATTTGTCGGGAATTATCTTATACCATGTAATACGAAATGAACAATATGTGACGAATCAAGTTGGATGCAAAAATATAGAATGAATACAGAATATCCGCCAAAAAGCAGTTACTCAATCAACTGGATATGATTTTGGAAAATCATATCCAGTGTAGCATTCCAAAATCATATCCAATTGCTTGAGTAACTGCTTTTTGGCGTATCGTATTACCTGGATGTCTAACCTTCATCGACAAATACAGAATATCAATGTAATTTTGTAGTCAACGCAGAGGAACAAAAAGTCTCTGCTATCTATAGATATGTGTGATGCATTATCTGGTAGGAAATAATCGAATTAGGTCAAATGGTAAATCAATAATACATCTAGCAACCCAGATATTGAAGAGTTGGAAAAGAGACTAGATCTTGATCAAAATGACATTGAGATATCAGTTCCTTTGTTTCTCGAGACATAGCTGATTGCATGTCTTAATCTAAAAATGAGCGTACTGCTAAGAGAAATGTGTAACCTATGCTATGTAGCCTCTACCAGGCTCCTAAGATTGCTGGAAAAATACTAGAAATTTGTACACTGTTGAAACTTCTCTATTCAGTCTATTTGGCCAATTTCTACTATTTCCCCAGCAATCTGAGAAGCCTGGTAGAGGCTGTACCCTATGGCTTACTGCGGTAAAAAGACGTAGGTGTCTTGATTTGTTGTAAAGTCTGGACTCATGTCCTGCCAGTCTGAGCTGCCATCGTCTGTGGAGGTGGACCCAATCCTGTTCTGGTAATCCCCCAAAGTCTCGGTCGACTTTAATCTCTTAAACCTCCTATCCGTCGTGCTCTGTAGACACTCCAGCAGGTGCTCGTGCTGCCGCTCGAACCCTTTGATCTCAGGCTTCTCCGACATCACGGGCTCGAAGTTCTTGCGTTTGAGCGCCTCCAGCTCCATGGCGTAGATGGCGCTGAAGTTGGAGACGATGATGGTGACCGGCAACGTGAGGAGGACGATGCTGCTGAGGCAGCAGACCGTCGTCACCAGCTTGCCCGCCAGCGTCTCCGGCACGGTGTCGCCGTACCCCACCGTGGTCATCGTCACCACGATGAACCAGATGCCGTGCGGGATGCTGTGGAAGTTGGAGTCCGGGTGCCCCTTGTCGCAGTAGTACATCACGGTGGCGAAGATGGTCACCATGACGGCCAGGGCGAACAGCAGGAAGCTGAGATCCTGTAGGCAGGCCGTGAGCGTGTTGCCCAGAAGGCGCATGTTGGCGGACGAACGGGACAGTTTGAAGACTCGGAACACACGAAAAATCCGGAGGGTGACGAAGAAGCCGTTCAACTCCTTGTTCTCCGGGATGCATAGCGCGATGTAGAACGGGAGGATAGAAACGATGTCGACGATGCTCAGGAGGCTTTTCAGAAACTTGCGCCTATCCGGGGTGGCTATGAGACGCAGTATGTATTCTGTAGTAAACACGCCCACACTGGCCACTTCGATGACAGAGAACGTGACTTTGTAACGCTCCCCACACCTGACGTACGTCACCATGTCATAGTCCAGGCACCAGATCGTCTCCACCGCGTTCGCGAGGATGGACAGCACTATAAAAAGACCCGTGACAGAGAAAATCACCGTCGCCGCCGCGCAGTTGTAGGGATCCTCTAGAATCTGCCAGAGTTTGGCGAGAGGTCCCGATCTCGGGCGCTCCTTGGGTTGCATGCAGTCTTGTCTGTACTTCTCCTCCGCCTCCTTGTTGTCCGTGTAAACCTCCCGACAGCAAGGCGCGATGAGGTCGGGACGTATTCCAAAGAAGGTGAGCTCATCTTCGAAAGCTTGTGCGGTCTCGTCCTGGGGAAAATGCAGGCTTCCCGTCCTGTAGTACATCAAGATGTATCTGAAGACCTTCGGGTCCCTGTCAAAAACGTACTCCTCCCGCCGCGGGTCGAAGAAGTAGTCTCTCTCGTCACATCCGAGCAGCGTGTCCGGGTGGTTGTCGAAGAGGAAGGCAGACGTGACGAACACCGTGCCGCTCACGTTAAATGATAACCTCTTCCGGTGGGTCGCGGGAGGTCTTCTGGTCGGTATTCTGCTGAGAGCTGGAGGATAGGGTGGAACAAACAGAAAACACACCATGTGTTATCTTTGAAATCTTCTTAAGTACTGATGCCACGTTGTAGACTTGAATGGAGGTGATATTAGGTACTGTTTTGTTGCAAACCGTTTTACTGTATTTACATCATTGCCAAACTTCAATATCAACTGATAGCACAAGTTCAACTTCAAGTAAACATCAAACTCTGTATGAAAACTGACAAGGAGACACATAACTTAGCAAACTCCAAAGACAGAATTAAGAAACAGTAGACAGTTCATGAACAGTTCACGGTCACTTGTTCAGCAGGCTTACGAGGTACGGGGTTGGGGAGTTTTTGTGTCTGCTGGTACGGCAGTTTGTTTGTTTCCAATATCCCGGTCGGAAATTTAACCTACATGTATTAGTCACACGGTGATTCACCCCATCACCCCCTATATATATATACATGCACTAGTTAGCCGTAGCGAAGCCGCACTGCACATGACATCATGCTTCACCTCTGATGAGGATGACTAACGATGACGATGACATGTACTAGCAAGGTATGGCGTCTACTGCTGTGTGACAAGAACCTTGCACTAGATGTAGTATGGGATAGAAATGTGATCTTACAATTATTTCTGTCGTTTCTAGCGTCAAGACATTTTTAAAGAAAATATTGTGTCATATGCACAACGCAAGAGTATATGGCGACATGTCAATGTGTACTTAAATAGTGGCGACTCGATGAAGTATGGGACGAAAATGTGCTTTATTTCTGTCATTTCTAGCGATCAGACATTTTAAACAAAACATTGTGTCATATGTACAACGCAGGAGTGGCCACATGTCAATATCTACTTAAATAGTAGCGACTCGATTTTCGGGACGTTGTTACCAGGTTGTTGTTGGAGGTTGTTTCTTTGAAAATATTGTGTCACATATGCACAACGCAGCAGTATATAGCCACATGTCAATATGTGCTTAAATAGTGGCGACTCGATTTTCGTGAGGTTGTTACCAGGACGCGACCATTGTCATGCCCGACTGCCCGCCGATCCAAACGGAGTCAGATTTCGTATTTGTGACTCTGGAAACCCGCCAGAATCGATGTGGGCGCGTATGTCAGCCATAAAACCAAGTAAGTATGGCCTAATAAGTATTTGATAGCGTTTCAAACTTTCCAAACTTTTTTTCAACTCCATACAATAAACCGGGTAGTGGTTAACCCTCCGTCAAATTAACGGGCTGTAGATACAATCTACCTGCAGTTTGGTACGATGTTGCTAGAGGGATTGTTTATGAGTAAAACCAAGGACATTATAATGTCCTTGGTAAAACCATTCTTCGTTGAAGCGATTTATTTGTCACGTATAGATACAGTTACTAGAGAATTCAGAATTCCAGCAGACCGATGCAAGTCTCGGGCCTAGTCTCGTGCTCTCGTGAGACTAGGCCACTCCGTGAACAAGATGGACTGGTAGCCATCGAAAATATGGAGGTTAGTATTCTTACCCTTCAAAAACTTGTCACTGCTGAAAGAATTCTCTAGTATTACTATATAAACTAAAACCATTCTTACAATTGGATCTACGTCAAGATATTTCCCAAATTTCTCTGCCAACCAAAGTTGATAATTGTTTAAGGAATTAGGCAACTGACCATCCAATAGGGATGATTTTGGAAACGGTCAGACGTTTCAGCTAATATCCACTAGCTTTCGTCAGTGACTGAGAGACCAGAGGAGAAATGCAGCCCAAAACATATCCCGTTGCTTGAGTAACTGCTTTTTGGCGTATCGTATTACCTGGATGTCTAACCTTCGTCGACGTAACCATCCAATAATGATAAAAGATATCACCTCCTTTGTGGAATTAGCTATAGGAAACATCTAACGACCACACAGCTTATCAATTTGGCAACAATTATGGCATTGTGATTAGGTATCGGTATAAGGGTGTTTTTCAGTTATCTTCAGACCAAGAAATATTTACACTGGTAATACCATGAACATGAAATCAGAAGTTTCATCTCCATGGCCATTTTTTTTTATATTCCAACATGTAATCACAAGACGTGGTGACGGCACACTCAAGTTTTTTTCAACTTATATTAATGCCGCCATGCCAATATAGGGGACAATACAATACTCATTTTCACCTGAGCCAATTATTTGCAAAATATTACAACAAACTACAATAGTCAAAACATATGTACATAATCTGCACAACAGTATAACACCGTGGTAACGAAAATCGATATGTTCCCAGAGAGCTACTTGAAAATCACTGAGCTATCTCTCCACGGTGTCTATACGTGAGGGGGGTGTATTTCAGAGGGAACACGGTCGGTGTAAGTAATGGTCTCCAATTATCCACGTGTGTGCATGTCTTAGTTTGAGTACAATGTACTACTACAATGTCTTCTGATCACCCATGCACTATGTAGTACTATTGCAGGGGTCTCCACAGAAATTCTTATGGGAAAGGTGCTATGTAATCGGTTAATGAATACATAATCACTAGAAAGCTTTAAACAACTCCTGCAAATAAATGTGCAAAGATTGAGTGTAACAAGTCGTTCGGTGTGATATAGCTAGTTGCCGCCGCGCCGCGTGCCTGAGAAGCCGGTGTGTTACACCGAAGGCCCGGGCGGTTATAGCGGCTATACTGATACAGATACAGATGAAAATTCAGTAAATTTTCATTAAAATACTAAGGGAAAACACTAAAATTTAAACATTTTGGGAGAGGTGCTACGATTTTGGGGAAAGGGGGAGCACCCTTGCTTCATTGCTTGGGGAGGGCCCTGCATAGCCTAGAGCTGACGACTACAGATAGTTTCTGTAGCTTTTTCTAGAACCGAACGGACGGTCCCTTTCCTTCCCGGCGGCAGGCTGACGAAGCGAGCGGGTTAATTCAGGTGTTCTCGGCGGGACTGGCCGGTACAATGGCAGCCGATGATTATACCTGTCATGACTGGAGCGAATAAAGGGACTAGATGGGTCAGATGATCACCTGAACGTGCCCCATTGAGGACGCTGCACTCTAAATGGCGCAAATCATTATCTCTGTAAAACGATTTTGGGGCAGCGAACTCCTGTACTTTCATTGGTTTTCCAATATCAAGCGCGGGGGGATGACCATACGTTTTCGGTCCCGACAGCCGCGAATATCCAAACAAAATCATCATCCGCAGAAAATATCACCAACCGTCGGAGGGAAATTTCGTCCCTTCCTATATAGCGATATATCTCTCCCGTAATATTTATACACATATCGATGTTGGATGATTTGCAGTGTGTAGACGCTAACAATTGATGGCCATCGATTCGAAATGGTGATTTTCCGACAGCTTGCAGGAAACTAGGCCGCAATTTCGCTTGCAAATGTCGTTTGAGATAAATTTACATTAGCGCGCCTACTGTTACGCACAAGTGCCACCATGGGTCGGCTTTGCTCCAGCATTTGCGAATAATTGAATCAATAAAGTCGTCAGGCAGGCCGACCGGGGGATGAACATGAGACTGTCAGCACTGGTCGGGCCAAAGGTCTCGCGGGGGGAGGGAGGGGGGCGTGAGGGGGGAGGGGGTCGACGGCGCTAGGTTATTATAAGATTTAACACCAAACTACCTGCAAACTCGAAGGGAACACAAAAGATATGAAAATGTAAAAATGGCTATCTGTTAACAATATTTTGAAAATATTCCAACAAATCCAAGTCTATGGGCCTGACTGATATAAGGTTTAAAACCAGTATTGACTACTCTAACTATGCAGGTAAGAAAGAAAACAAACAAACAAACAAACAAACATTTGCGAATAATTGAATCAATAAAGTCGTCAGGCAGGCCGACCGGGGGATGAACATGAGTCTGTCAGCACTGGTCGGGCCAAAGGTCTCGTGGGGGGAAGGGGAGGGGGCGTGAGGGAGGAGGGGGTCGACGGCGCCGCGTTATAACATTTAACACGTACCAAACTCCATTTGCAAACTCGAAGGAAAGATATGAAAACGTAAAGAGAGCTACCTCTTAACAAGATTTAAAAAAATATTCCATGAATGAAA